AGCCGCTCTGACATGCAGACGGGCAAGCAGTGTCAAAACAATGCTGAGTCTGACAATCGCAAGGACTAAGCAGAAAGGTTAGCAGGTCAAACAAACAAGGATTTCGATAGTGACTCAATGTAACTTCTACTACTACATGCTCTCTACTACCATGCTGCAGTAGTTCTTGGACTTCTATAGGCTTTTGTTTCTGTATGATTAAGGTATATTAAGAGTACTTGCTCTCATTGGATGCCATGCAGCTCTCCATCGATATGGGCTTCAAACGCGGCACCACTCCGAAAAATCTCGGCCTGAACAATGACGTGATCGGAGCAAAAACTGACTTTGAATCGTGAGAACTTTTCGAGACAGCGCAGACATGGTTGAAACATTACCAAGACATCAAGGCCTGAAACAGAAACTCGACCGGAACTATGGAAAGCTGGATTTCAGTGCCTGGCCTTTGCCTCGCCCATTGCCTCCAACTCTTGCAGCTCAGATTGACGTTTCTGAAGCTTCTTAGCCAACTCCTTCCATGAAGATTATGGAATGAATCGAATGCATTTGCACATATTCGAGCTACATGTGTGCAAAGTCAATGATTGCTCAACGTTGCAAGACACCAGGGAAATCACAACACCTGCGGCCTACAGCTCGATGTCAATTGGTTTGAAAGGAGCACGGCCTCAAAGAGGTCAACGAAAATATTCCTATGTATTATCATACCCTTGGCTTAGATATTTTATTTGCTTATATTCTATTCATTCTTTTCTACTACATTCATCTATATTATCCCATTCCATGTTTTCAGGTGTTTGGACACGCGTCTTGACATCTGTCCTGGTCGATGCGTGCGTAGTGAGTATCCGCTTTTGCAGATCTCTTCAGCTCTGACTCACCAGTGGATCCAGTCTTTGCTCCTAAGGACCGGAAATCAACATAGTCAACATATCTTCCATGCTGTTGCTAACTGGTTCAAACCAGTGTGCACAGCAGAAATCGGACTTGGAGCAAATCAGTGCGCCTCATGCATTGAAGCATTCTTGTGGGAGTCTACTCCACGGAAAGGAAATCATGTGTGTGTGTTTGTCAAATTTGGTTCGTTGGCCTCCAGGAACACACTTGAAATCTTGAGGCGAATGAAAATCAAGTCAACATGTCTTGAGAATATTCTAGAACATCGACCAATGTCGATAACCATCTTGAAAGAGCTTTGTGGACAAGCTACGAGAGATCAGTTCTGACTGTAGTCGGAGCTTGCTTTTGAGTTCTTGGTCAATGTGCGCTTCGTATGCACGGTCCACAGCCTGTCATATTGGAACGATTGGACAGGCTGTATGCATGACTTCAACGACTTCTGTCTGACACCTTGAAGAATGCACGACCAGCTTTTGTGTCCCCTAAGATTCTTCGTGGGACAATTTGCAAACTTAATCTCATCCGCAACAACCAACTATGCACCCATGACGTAGGCACCCAAGACTTTACTGGCTGGTTCAATCTGCACAAGGATCGAGAAAGCTGGAGTCTTCGATCTGTGGCCCCAACCACTGGCTCAGGAGACACAGGATCTGCATCTGTGCGATCTCGTCTCCTTGGGTTTTCAAGGTAGCTACAAGATGCTGCAAACAGCTCTAAGAACAATGCAACAAATACGCTCCAATAAGCTCCGGATCTTCGATTTCAAGCTCCAATACCAAACAGAGAATCCGAACCTGTACAGTACAGTCCATTGCCACGCATGGGTCACAGCACTAGAAATTGCTAGGCATTGAATGCAGGGAATCATCATTTGATGCTGTTCATGCATTCCAGTCCCGCGGGTTGTCCCAGTGTGTCTCCTCTCAAGTGCATCTTTGGCTCATGACGATGAATCGTATGCACTGTGCACTGTGCACTAAGAGAATAAATCTTCCAACTCGTTTCTACTTCCAGTCCTCTAACCATTGCATCCACTTTCCCATTACTTTCCACTCAGATCACTTCCGGCGCTTGCCGATATGCCTATAGACTCCTATAAACTTTCTTCAGTCAAAACTTGCAGTTGTGGCTCTTCTCCAGTCGCTGTGAAAGCTCCCGGTCCAGAGGCATGGCTCACAGCAGCATTACACTCTGGACGCTGAAACTCACGGAGTATCTACGTCTGCGTAAGCTGAACTCTATTCATTTCACCGAGTTTCTGAGTTTTGTAATGTCTTGTACATGCAGTTACCCAATTCACAATCCTTGTCACTCCACGTCTCAATCTTCTGTGTTCTATTCAACCCCTATTAAGCTGTTGTTCAGTCTTGGTCTGCTGCCACAAGCGTTGCTTGTGGTCTTGCTATATCTTGCATATCAATGCATATCAGTGCATATCATGCAATCACAATCCACCTTGAGTGGCATTCCCGGATCTTGCAGGATTGCTTTATGGTTCCTGACTTTGGTCCAAACAGCTCGCGCATAAAGCCATAAGATGCCACAAGCATTCAAGCCTTCCGCTGAAGGTGTAGGTCACGTGCGACCAGATGAGTCTTCCTGCTCAGTCCAAATTGATGCGCATCTTTTCCCACCTGCTGTACAAACTTCAAGTGAAAGTGTCTTCAAGCGCCAATGGATCAGGAGCCAAACATCTCAAGAATGCTTGAGAAAACCACAAGCTCGGGGTGAACAACAGTTGTGATGTCAGTCCAAGACTTCAATAATGACATCAATTTGCCCTTGTCACTGAGTTTGTGCCATGTTCAAGCTGTCTACATAATCGAAAACTGTCCGACTGAAAAATTGCCTCATTAACCTCACAGGCGACAAAGGTGACAATATGGCAATTTGCTTGATTGTGTGTGTATATGTGTGTTGAGCATCAACTGCTGAAATTAAAACTGAGAGACATGTCAGTGTGTTGAAGAAAAGGGATGTCTGTTTTTTTGCCTGGCGCTGGGCCCCACACTGCCAGCACGCGGAAGCTGGTTCGATTCTCCTTGGCGACAAGTGGCCATGCAGTCCAATTTCTTCCCACAAAAAAAACGGATGGTCTTGGCTCACAGGTTTGACACACAGGTTTGACACACAGGTTTGGCAGGGTGCTGCCTGTTCTTTCTTCTCTCTCTCTCTCTCTATATCGAATTCAGTGTCCCTGTCGACATCTGAGATCTGAGAAGTTTTGAAAAATCTGCCAAGATACGCAGCATTCCTGCCAGCTCAGCATCGCTCAAGGGGCAGCCCTCCCTCAGAACGAACATCGAAATTTCAACTCTCGCGACTCTGCGACACGGAGAAAAAATGACGGGACAAACGGGACACAAAGACTTCACACGTGTGGCGGAAACAAACTGAAATTAGTCCAAAATCCGCCGACCCCGCTTGCAGCAGGGGGAGCGCGTCAGAGAAGACATTACAAGGGGCATGATATGGAAGCAGAAGGACAGAGGCAAGAGCAAGAAGCTTCGAAGAAAAGGGGCAGTACGACAGAAGAAGACGCAAGAAGGAAGTTGCAAGACTAAGCGATAGAAGCTAGTAGTGCGAGATTCTCGACATCTTGGAACTATATCCGCCGACCACAGGGAACGAGGGTGAGCGCGCCAGAGAAGCAAGGCCAGAGGGAGAGTTTCAGTGCCAGAAGACAAACGTGTTGAAGCTAGACAAAAGCATCTGGAAGCCATTTTGAGACTAAAAAGGCATTGTGAAGCTACATTTTGAGTTACAGCAATAAAGAAGCAAACGCTTTTGAGTTACAGCAATAAAGAAGCAAACGCAAGAAGAAAGCAAGGTGCAAGAGTGGGCAAGACAGAGAGGAAAAAGAAAACAAATTGCAAGAACCAGAAGCCAGCACAAGAAGAAAGCAATGTGCAAGAGTAAGCAAGACAGAGAAGGAGAAGGCAAGAAAAGTAGGAAGAGGGAAGAGAAAGAAGGAGCGGAAGCCAGAAGAAAGCTAGACAAAGGCATTTGAAAGCCAAAAGCTATCTTACAGCGAGAAAAAGCTTTGTTTTGGAGGCTTGAACGCTGCAGTTTGGAGCTAGTTTCTTATCTGTTCCGAGAGCAACGTTAGGCAGAGGCAGCTGCAGGCCGAAGGCTTGGTTTGTCCCTCAGTGGCGTGGTGCTTCGGTGTGGCGAAGCCAACGTTTTAGAAGCTAGAAGGAAGGCTGCAATTTGGAGCTAGTTCTTGTCGGTTCAGAAAGCAACGCTAGGCAAAGGCAGCTGCATATCTATATCTAAATACGGCATTAATGATCATTGACGTATATTGATGCAATTTGTCTTTTGAAGCCGAGTCCCAGACTATGCAATCACTTCACTATACTTGCAACATCTTCCGAACTTTTTCACAGCGTTCCTTGTGTTCCTTGTGTTGTAGCTCATGTCCATGGTAGCAGGGCAGCTGGTCTGCCATAGCAAGGAACAGTTTCTGAAGTCAACTCCGTGCTGATGTGTTGAAGTAAAGCTTCCCACCACTTGCTGACAGAATGTGACTGGTGGCTGGAGTTAATGCGCAGGAATTGGGTGGACAGCAATCCTGACGAATGCACCTCTGCCTGACTGTGCGGCAACTGCTCGAACCCAAGCTGTAAGAATGTATGCAATTGATTGAATGTGTGATCTGCCACGCTGCTTCACAGTGTCCGCTTCAATTAGAAAATTGTTTGTACTGAACCTGAAAAGCTTGGGAAGTGCATTTAATACATGGGACACTTTGATGAAAGCGTCTGCTGTTCTAACTGCGCAAATCTGCAAACCTGATCGTTGGTGGATGAAACGGATCGAACCTGGTTAGGCCACTACGGCTTTCAAGCAACAGTTGTCAGGTCGAGCTTGGTTTCCTCTGGGGTCGGCGGCAGGGGGAAGCCCCTTATATTCCAAAATGACATGGGACATCCTGGGACTCTTTCCATTTCCTTTGGTATACTGTGACACTCTCTATCAGATTCTTGCTCTTGCTCCCAACAGGTATGGCCAAACAATGCAAAACAAACAAGCGTACTGCAGGTCCGATGCAATGAACCCTCGTCTTCAACAAGACCTGAAACGTTGCGCAAAGCTCAGAAGTCGTGAGGACTCTGCTCATCGTCAAGCATGCGGGCAAAGGCAATCATGTCCATGCCCTGCAGACCACGACATCCAAAGGAGATCATCAGTATCTGTTTAGCGCACGAAAAAGCCAACCATAGCAAACCAACATGTGAACGACCAGTCCAGTGATTTGTTCAGCACAAGGTAAATATACACACGCATGTAAACTATGTAAACACTGCTTCAGCTCTGCCTGCATGGGCGAGCAACGGTATTCATTGCACAAGGACTGGTACTCCTGAGGCATGAGGCGCGAGGAAAAAAAAACAAGCGCAACGGGTATAGAATCTGCAACAAATGCATCCTGACACGTTCTGGTGTAGCATTTCACTCAAAAGACGCAATCAATGAGGGCAGAATGGCTCTCCTCGGCCTCAGTCACTCCACAAGTTCTGTTGACCCTGACGCAAAAAGCGCTATGGCTAGAAGATTGAAGTATTTGTATCTCTCGGCCCCAGGCCCATTCGCTCTGAGACCCCTCAAAGCCAAACCTATCTGCGAAGGGGCGCAACTCTGTGTCGTACAGGAAGCCATCCTCAAAGCAAACCCAGGTCACGAATCTTGTCGACATCTCAGAGCTGGGTATCATGTCGAAGACATGGATGTAGCCAGTAGGCATTGTTTCACGGAATACTCTCATACGTGCGCCTAAATTCTGAGGTCCATCTCATCCGTGAAAACTCCTACTCCCGTATGCAGAGATAGGCACTTCTTTGGTTCAAAACTGGGGAAGCGACGCCATCTCTGTCCAACATGTAAAACAAAGTCGCCTGCAGCGGATTTGAGACTTTGCGATTCTGGCTATGAAGGCCGCGCTATCTCAAAGTGCACATCCAAGAAGAATGCCATGAGATGTAAGATTCGGTGGATGCAATTTGATTTTGATCCATGTCACATCACAAAGGGTACAGGTTCCCCCGATTTTTTCCAGATTTTCCCGGATATTGTTTTTTCAGGCGTTCTGCTCTACAGCAGAAGACCACAAGCCACCAACCACCAACCAACCACCAACCTGTAGGAAACTCTGAAAGACCTTCTGTTTCACGCAGGAACGTTCAAATCTCCCCCAATGCATACGCCAGATTTAAGGTTCATTTAAGATTTGACTATGGTTTCTTTGGGATGCGTTTGGTGTTGATTTAGGGTTGGTTTAGGGTTTGTGTAGGGTTGGCTGAGGGTTGGTTCAGGGTTTGTTGAAGCTTTTCCCTGGTCGGTTTAAATTTCATTGGCGTTTGTTTGGTTTTTATTTGGTGTAGGTTTCTGGTTTATATATGTTTGGCTTGACATCTCTTTATGTAAGGTTGTTCTTGGTATTTATTTAGGAGTGGTTTGAGCTTTATTCAGGTTGGTTTTAAGATTTCATTGTTGGCTTAGGCTTGGTTTAGAATGCTTATTCAAAGTGGGTTTCGGCTCTATTGATTGGTTTAGGTTAACTTTGGGATGGTTTAGGGTGTTTAATTAAGGTGCCTTAAGACTATGTTAGGTTTGTTTATGGTTTATCTATATAGGTTAGCTTAGAACCTATTTGAGTTGGCAGAGTCTATTTGGGTTTGGTTTCTGTTGTTTCTTTCAAGTATGTTTAGGGTTCATTTTCGGTTGGTGTAGGAATTGTTTAGGGTTTCTTCCAAATTGGTTTAAGGTTTTTTTGAACACATTATTTGAGAGCTGGTTTGAAATTTTCAAGTGCTTGAACATCCCTTTAACGTTTCTTTACGGTTTTATTGGATGTAGTGTTGATGTTTCTTGGAGGGCTTTGGGTGTTTATTTGAAGTTGTTTTAGGTTTGGGTTTAGGTTTGGTTTAGGTTTTGTTTGAGACGTGTTTTTACGGTTGGAAACTTTGATTTTGCTTTGATTGGTTTAAAGATTTGAGGTGCCTTTTAAAGGCTGGTTTCGGCTGGTTTATGGTGTTTATTTCGGGTTGTTTTAAGAGCTATTTGTGATTTATTTGGAGTTGGTTTAGGTTAGGGTTTGTTTGGGGTTGGTTTTAAGGTGTTTATTTTACGTTGGTTTCAAAATATTTGGGGTTGGTTTGGTTTGTCTGGTGTTTATTTAAAGGTTTTTAGGGGCTTGTTTAGGGATGGTTTAGGCTTGATTTAGGTTGACGGTTTATGTGGGATCGGTTTTCAGATAATTTAGGCTTGGTAGGGTTTCTTCCAGTTTGGTCTATGGTGTTTTTTGGGGGTACGTTTAGGATTTCTTCAAGGCTTGTTTGAATTTTATTTAGGCCTGGTTTGAAGATTTGAGGTGTTGTTTTAGGGGTCTTTACTGTCTATTGAAGGGTGTTGGGTGTTTATTTGGGGTTGGTTTAGATTCGATTTAGAGTGTGTATTTAGCGTTGGTTTATTTAAAAAACATATTGAAGTAGGGAATTAGGTTGCCTTTTCAAGAGTTGGTTTCGGGTTAATTTAGGGTTGGTTTAGGGCGTTTGTTTATTGTTGAGGTTGGTTCAAATAGTTTAATTAAGGATGGTTTAGGGTTTATGTAGGGTAAGTTCAGCGTGTGTATTTCGGATTGGGTTCGGTTAGGCTTGCTTGCTTGCGTGCTGGCTGCCTGGCTGGCTGTCCTCCCTCCTGGCTTGCTTGCTTGCCTGCCTGCTTGCTTGCTTGCTGCCGCAGTACCTTTGAGGATAGGTTAGAGAAAATAATTCCCGGGGAAATCTGGAAAAAAAAACGGCAAAATTCCATAGCCCATCACAAATCGGTCCTCACACTTTATTTGGCTCAAAGTGGTAAGGAGAATCTCTAGAGATCCGGGAGCAACGAAGTGCAACGGCGCAGGATACGTCTGAATCTCCAACGTCTCCTTCATTTCCGCACGTTGCACTCCTCTCGAGTCGCCCTCTTCCACCTCTCTGGTACCTCAGAGCTGTGGGATTGGTGAATCGACAACATTCGACAAAGCGACAACTGCCATCTAGATCGCTCCAAAATCCTGCGATGCATGAAGGAAGAGAAATTGTGAGACCTGCATAGACCTGCTAGGTGCTCCACTGCGTTTGCCAAATTTTTGATTCTTTTGATCTTCAAAAGCCTCGCCAAGATTTCATGGTGACATTACGCATGCCTTTGTTTTTGCACGTTTCGTCGTGCTGATGGTCGTGTAGAGTTGGGGATGGGGAGTTACACTGTTCGTCCAACTTGTTCTATATACATCTTCCATGCCAAACCTGAAATCACTGGCTCTTGGAACCTGCACTGCGCAGAGTCCAAAACCCTCCTGGAAGCCCCAAAGAACCATGGATTGTTTTGATAAGCATGAAAAGCCCTGCAGCATCGTAATGCTCCTGAAAAATGCGAGCCTGGAACCTTGAACCGAAAATCGTCATGCAACATGTTCAGACTTTTCTAGCAGAAGAGACCCTCAAAACGCGCACAGTCCTGCTTGCGGAACCCTCCTGAAACCCACCTGAAACCCACCAGAACCTCTAAACTTTAAATCTTTGCATCAGCCCCAGCCCCTCAAATAACTACTGGGAATGATCTTGATAGAATCAGCCAAGGTGGTATCCCAACAGCAAGGTGGTAGGAAAGTGTGACAGCAGTCAGCGCGCACCTATCTGAAGGTGTCTCGTACTTAGTAGACGACCCTGGAACCACCCCAGACCTCAATCGGAGCCCCAGAACCACCCCAGCACACCAGAACCTCCCAAACCACACCACCAAGAACCTGCACCAAGCTCCAGAATGACCCAGAACCCGCACCGGAACCTGACTTGTCATGAAAGGGGGATGACTGCCAAGAGGGTCGATGTGTCTGTTGTTCTGAACACAACAGCTGGGCAGAGAAGAAGAATAGGACAAGAGGGAGAGGAAAAAATCTGTCTGTGGCAGAAGGTAAAGCAGCAACACATCATGGTGAGTCGACCCCGCACCTGCGCAGCTTGGGAAGCCTGCGAAAATAAACACTTCAAATTTTCAAATCACAATTACATCCTGCGAAGACCATACGATTGCACTTGTCAACGTGTTTCACCGTGTGTCAACGTGTTTCAACGTGTTTCAACATGCGGCTGAATGTGTTGGTTTTTACATGAATTGCGAAGTTAAATTGCGGTCCGCCTCGCTGCCATAGCCCTTCGGCCAAATTTTCTCTCTCTGCTCTTCAGAAAGGCGATTGGCCTCTCCCGCAATGCAAACGGGAAGACAAAGGGCACTCTTTAAAGTCTTCATAGATCCTCCCAAAAATCATAGAGATGAAAAAATGGAACCAGGTGGAAGATCGCAACGATTGGCGAAGAGGTGCTTTTGATAAAGTTGGCAAAACCACGTACTGGCGCTCGGCGAAGCGTGGGATGCAGAGTCATGCACATCTGGAGTTCTGCAAAGTTAGGCAACACCATATCTGAAGGAAACTTCTACAGTATAAGTTTCTCCTATTTGAGTTTCCCGGCAGCCGCAAGGATCTCTTGAGCATCTTCGCCCAACTCCTGCTTTGGAACCCTTTAATTTCTTGATAGAAATCAGACCAAAATACAAGCGCGGTCGAACAGCTTCTTCTTCGAACACCATCAATCATATTTTATCATATTTTATCGTAGTTATTCAACGCTATCCATCCCACCTTTCCACGATTGGCCTAATCTCAGATCTGTCCTCTGCCACCTTTGTGTCAGCATAGGGGTCTGCTTCTGACTGTACAGCCTCGAGGTGAGACTCTCGGTCAGACATTGTCAATCATCTTGACAGCCCATGATGGCCATGGCGTTCCATGGCGTTCCACCATCCGGAGATATCTAGAGACCATCTAGATATCTCGGCCTCGAAGGCTTCATGGACATGAAAATTCAAAGCACTAAGGAGATCTAAGGACTCGGGGAACTTGAAGGAACGAAAGCTAGCCGCTCCCTTTTTGTCGCCACTTCCCATGGGTACGTGCAGAATTTTTCAACATTGTGGCTACTGTGGGTTTCCATTTCAGGAACCAACTGTTCGACATTTCAGGCTTCCATTTCAGGAACCAATTTTCTAGACATTTTGGGTGTCCATTTCCGGAACAGATTGTTCGACATTTGGGGCTTCCATTTCGGGAACCAATTTGTAACCATTCTAGCTTCCATTTCAGCAATTGTTGAAATAGTTTAGGCTTTCGGGAGCTAATTTTAAGCATCTTAGGCTTCCAATTCGGGAACCATTTTTGACACATTTTTGCGGCACAGCGACAAAACACCTCGATGCATCACTCCGTCCACTTAGTTAGTCGCACCTACTTGCCTTTCTTATCCTTTCTTGTGGGCAACTTGTCTCCTCTGGGGCGATTCCACGTGCACAGCAAGTCTTGGAACCACATCTAGATGCGGACCAGGGGGGCGATACCCTGCCATCACACGTTTGCGTCATCGTACATGACACGCAAAAAACGACCAAAATGCAGACCCTAATCACCACCTAGTTACAAGATTTTGTGCTCACTCGTCAGCCACTGCCCCCTAGACCCCTTAATCTTACTTCGTTTTCACATGGGACAACTTTAGCCTAGCCTTTGGCTGGCTTTCGTAAAACAGAAAGTCTGGATATGTCTGGATGTACTGAAGATTTAAAAAAAAAACATCAGTACCTGGTCATCTAGTTGAAATCTTTGATGCGCTTCCGCACCTGCTGTGTGACCTTCCTCGTTGCTACGTTGCTATGCAGCTGAGCCAGGAGCTTTTTCCATGTCCATCGAGATGAGCTCATCCAACATCAACTCCTAGCAACTCAAGTCGTTCAGTAATTCAGTAAATTATTTCAGTAAACAGAACAGTCTCTTTCAACTGAGCTTCCTCTACTTGATACTTCTTGAGTGTAAGAACCAGTCCTGGTAGAGCTCATATGGGCCTGCCAGAAACGTGAAGGGAAAGCTGGACCGAGCGACCGAACTCAGAGCGAGCCTGGGATGGTTTCTTTTTCCCAAGGCCGAGCTCTGTGTCGCAAAGTTGCGCATTGCGTCATTGCCTTAGAGACGGCAAACACGGCAAGGGTCTTGTTCAGCCCAAGCCCAACTCAAAAAAACATCGCTTCAGGTTTTAAGAGAACTGCGCTCCGGGACACCATGCCAACCAAATTCAGTAAACAATATTTCTTGCACACTATTCTTGAAACCAAATGCACACGGCAACAAACAACCCTTCAAATATCCGATGGTTGTGAACAATTGCTGCACCTCAAACTGCGCAGGCAGTCACGTGTCAAGCGTTTCCATTCAAATCTAAGTTCTCAACATATTCTAATTTCGTCAAATCCTGTTTACAAGAAGCAAGTCGCTACTATGCTCACTGACTTTGCGGATGAGCAGTGACTGCAGCTAAACATTGAAAAATCCAACAGATGTGCAGTCCTCACGCGAAACGTAGCCTGAGTTGCAACACTTGTGACAAAGTCGAGTGTGTGCGAGATAGGCTGGTCGGAAATTGTTTCGGGATTTTTTTGGACAAGTGGAAATTGTTTCGGGATCTTTTTGGACAAGTGTTCGTTATTTCTGTCTTGGTACTGACTGTTTGCCTTGTATTCGCAACATTTCGGAGCCTGAACTTGTCAATTTGCATAAGATTTGCCAAAGCGTGGAGCTAAAACTAAACCTTTCTTTCTCATGGTATTTGCAGCACTGGAGCTAGAATCTGTCATTTTGTAAGCTTTTGGAAGCATTATGGAGCAGGAACCTCTCAATTTGCATGGGATTTGCAACACTTTGGAGCTATAGTAAAACCGTTCATTTGCATGATGTTTGCAACATTTCCGAGCAAGGCCAGAACCTGTTATTTTGAAGACTTTTGGCAGCATTTTGCAGCTAGAACTTATCAATGTCCATTAAAATGTGATACATAATGAGGTAAGGCAAGGTAACCCCCTATGAAGAACTCAGACAAATACTATAATGCCAATAAAGAAAGACAAGAAGATAAGAAAATAGTACCAATGAGAATAATAAGAAACATAACATAAGTTAAGCTAAATAGGATAAAATCAGATCAGATATATAGAATAAGGCAAGATAGGTTAGGTAAGACAGGTTTAAAATATCTTAAAATGCACGCGGGGGGTTGGAGGAAGGCGCAGCCCACCCAATTAATGAAGAACACAGACAAATAAGACAAATAAAGGAACATAAGAAGACAGAATTCCAATTGGCAGCACTTTTCACCTTTTGGGTCTAAAGGTCGACCTGCGGGTTATATGTTATGTGACATGCCCATGCCTGACAACCACAAATGTCAAGTCTGCTCCATGGTCGGAGCTGGTTTTGGGTTCATCCGAATTTGTATTCTGTTATGAGGACTGTTCTTGCGACAGTGACCTCAAGTGTTGATACAAATTTTCGATCTGATCTTCACGATCTGTCTCAGACAGACGGAAGTCTTCACGAAGGATGATCCGTCTGTTGCGGAACCTAAATAACCCTAGTTGGGTGTCGAAGACCATCTCGGTGTCTCCAAACTCGTCTGAGGTCTCCCGGATGAAGTAGCGTAGAACTCCATCAGGTGCTGATGTGTGACCAATCAGCTCAGCATGAGGATAGGTTCCTGGAGCCTCCATAGATCTTGCATGTTGGTCATAGATCCCAATGACCTCCAGAAGTGAGGCGGCTCGTCGATGTCGCCGGATGAAGGCCATGAGGTAGTGCTCCGTGTTGTTCGACTCAATGGTCATGATGTGCAGCCTGTTCCTCAGCTGTAATTCTCTGCGTTGAGCTCGGTCTGCATCATGAGGTACGTCATCCAGGGCTGCATCCAGTTCGTAGTCGAACTCAGCGTTCACTGGTGACAGTCTGGGGCTGTCATCTCTTGACCTTGATGCTGTCTCATCGAAGGTTCTTTCCATCCAGTCTTCACCTTCAGGTTGAGGTTCATCTGATCCTTCCACTTCTGACAGTCCTTCTTCAGGTTCAGGTAGAGGTGGTCGACTGTCATGTGTTCTCGGTCGGCTGGAAGAAGGTTCTTCAGGATGTGGTCCTGCTCGTCTTCTCGCTGTCCTGTAAAGGATGTTGATGTCGTGGACCGTCTCGCTGAGTTGCAGCTGCAGTTCGATCATGTTGTGCTCCGTTGTGAGCATCCTGTTCACTAGGTCTGCTGTGATCAGCGGCTGAACTCGTTGTTCAGATTCATCCTCCACCATGTTGTTGAGCTTCTTCACCAGCTTCCACAGGTAGTATACCATGCCCAGCAAAATCATGCAAACGGTGGATATCGAAAAGAGGACCACCTTCTGTACCTTGAATTCTTGTTCTGACTCGACAGGGCATTGATCTCCTTCTGAGGTGCCTTGAGTCAGACTGGCAGCACAAGTCAGTGCCAAAAGCCAAAAGCTCGCTCTTGTTCTCCATGTAGAAGATCTCGAGGTAGAGCTCCTCCATGAAGTAGTGTAGTTCTGGATCTCCTTGAGGTCCTCCATGCTCAGCATGTTCTGGATCCACTTTTCATCTCCTTCGTTCAAGTCGTCCTCTGTGAACTCTTCTTGGACAGGGAGTCGTCTCGCTTCCAGCGGGTGTCCTTCTTCGTTTCGAAACTGAACTTCTCCGCTTGAAAGAAGATGAAGTAGTTGGCGGCTCAACATGACCTTCGTCAGAGCGTCCGCCAGCATTGATTGCGTCGGCACCAAAATCACCCAGCGCAATCTGCCGCACAGTCGTGCTTCTCGATGCGCCAGTATGTAGACACGTTGTGAACGGTCTTGAGGAAGGGCTGTTGCACCTGTTGTGAGCGACCAGAAGTCCTTGCAGTCTGTCATACAGTCCACTGGAAGGTATGGCACGCCCTTCTCCTGAAGTGCAGCCAGCTGCTGCAAAGTTGGCTTCGTAGTTGGGTGTAGAATTTCAGCCAGACGTAGGCTGACCAAAGAAGCTGATTCAAGGCCTGAGATGGCCGCCAGTGTTTCGGAGTGAGAAGTGGAGTAACTCACCCTTTTACACTTTCCACCATGTGCAAACAAGATGTGGGCTCGTCCACCAAACTTTTCTTCATTGATGTTCAGGCCATTGATCGTGTGGATCTTTGGGTCGAAGTTGAGAGTGTCCTCCATCAGTAGGATCATCACCCCTTCTTGTGAGTATGCCTTGCCCTTTTGAGCTGATGCTGCATCATGAACTGCGACCAGTCGCCAGGCAACATCTTTGGGAATGCACTTGTAGGTGATGCCAATGCCATTGTACTGGGCCAGTTTCGCCTTGCGAACGATGCTGTTGGCCATGTGTAGATCTTGTACTGTCGCCTTTGTCACACGCGACTGCAAAACTCCAACATCTGCCACAAGGTCTAATCTTGTCGCTGTGATCCACAGCAGGCCTCCAAGTATGCTGCGTAGCAGCGTCGTCTCAGAAGGCTCCAGGGACCGTGATTGGTCAGAGCCAAGGTGGCCCAAGTCCAAGACTTTCATGTTGTCAATGAACTCCTGCTGGTCCATGGCATATCCATCGCCAGTTCGGCTGTATCGGCATCCACAATGTGCAAAGGGCAGCTTCTGGATAGAAATCTTTCCAAATCGCCCGCACAGAAACTTGTACTGGTTCTCCAGGAAGTCATCTGTTCCAGTCACTGCCAAGTCATCGACATGTGTCGTCATCAAGGCAGTAAGTCCATTTGGGCTTTTCCAAAGCCACAGATTCTCATCCAAAGATGACTGTGATCCTCCTGAAGTTTCCAGAGCATCATGCAAACAAAGTTGCCAAGCCAATGGGGCGTCCACAAGTCCATAGGCAGGTTTGAGGCATTCCAATCCCCACATGCCCTGCTCATCGTCAGTGATGTGGAAAGATTCATCGAAGCTTCCAAGGTGTCTCCAAACATTTGGAGGAGGTATGATCACCACTCTTCTGTTTGGCGTGGCCACTCCTTTGCGTCGAAGAACTTCTCGAACTTTCGCAAATGAAAATCCTTTGAGGAAGGCTCCTGACACATCCCAGGATCTGATGTCGAAGCGATGGCAGGCAGCCATACTCAGCACCAAGCGTTGAGACAATCTCGTAGCCGTAGTGCTCCTCGTTGGAAGTTCTCGCTTCTGAGGATCTAAGAATCCTCTGGCACAAAGGCGGCTCTTTGCCTTGAGAGACTTGTCGGCCGTGCGCTTGTACTTGCGCACCCAAACTGCATCCACAAGAGCAACTTCTTCAGGAAGTTCGCTGATCTTCACCTTCTTGAACACCTTCTCATCGATGAACTGCTTGATCTCCAGGCGATCACTTTCTTCAAAATGCGGCCAGTTCTCCAAGACTTGTTGTTCATCCAGGACGTCTGTGTCTTCGTCCACTCTGTAGATCTCGCCTGTGGTCAGATAGATGTTCAAGTGCGCCTCAGTTCGGCAGTGAAGATGTAGTAGGATGCGAGGTGGTGCAGTTGGCTGTGTTTGGCCAGGTTGTGATCTCCTCATCCATCTCAGTTCATCTTCATACCAGATTTCATGTAGAGGAAGTTGTATCCGTCTGGATCGTTGCATCATCCACCAGATGGATTTCATGAAGAGGTTGTGCAGCTCCATTCTCTGTCGTTTCTTTTCTGGGGCCAATACCACTGTCCTGGTTTCAGGATCCTTTCTTTTGTTCTTGCCTTCCTCTTTGATGGACTCGTTCATGGGTGAAGAAGTTGACATAGGGTCGTCTTCCATCTGGTCCATCGTTGTAGGTCGGGTACGTCGAGAGATCTGTATGGGACATTTGGCTTCTTCTCCATGGATCTCCACGTAGCCATACATGTAGAGGTGGCACAACTTGTCAATGTCCTTGTTGTAGAGCTCCTTGACATGGATGTGAGCATCAGAGTTGTGCTCCACCACTGCAATTCCAGTGGGCCCTTCAGACCAGGTAACCAATGTTCCTTTGGAAAACTTTGGGGCCATGATGAGCTTCATTCCTCGTCCATATCGGATCCCGTGGAACGTCACATGGTTGTAGTGGTAGCCCAGAAAGGTTCTTGCGTCCTTCATCATCTGCTCGACAGTTGAGCTCTCCTCTTTGGGAAATTTCGTCATCAAGGTTTCGTTCTTCTCCTTCTTCAAGATCTCTCCCATGGTGTAGGGTCTGTATGGTGTGCATTGTTCCACCAGTTTCTTCATCCTTGCAAGAGCTTGCTCAGCATCAAGAGAAGTTGAAGTGGAGGTAGTGCTGAGAAGTTGAAGGTAGCTTTCTCGTAGAGGTCGAAGGTGTCGGAGGCCAATGAGGTAGGGTCTACCTTGAAATTCCACGATGGCTGTTCCATGGTCGTTGACCTTGAGCACCGTGGCTGGTCCTCTCCATCCATAGCCTCCACCATCATCACGAAAGATCTCCACCTTCGACTCGATGTCCCAGCCACCAAACTTCCAAGCTCCAGTTGTTGAGGTCTCGACCTGTTTGCTCGAGCTATTCGGCTCTCCAGTATTGCTGCTTG